CGAGAAGGCAGTTGGCTGAAGGAGCCCTGGCTTAGTGCCAGACATCCTCTTGCCCTGGGGTCCCCTTCTCTCTAATAGGGAACACCTCCCAGGGAGATGGGGGAATGGGCTGGTACCTGCAGTTGGGGAAGAATCTTGGTGGAGGGGGATTGTGTGTGCATGCTTAGGTGCATGGGGTGAAGGCCTATCTTCACTGATAATGGCACAAGAAAGTATGATCTGAGGCCTCAGCAAACAACATGAGCTCTTTTGTTCCGTCAACAAAAGTTTATTGAACATCCCCTGTGAGCCAGGCCCGGTGCTGGACCCAGGGAACACATCAGGAGTGAAACACAGTCTGGTCTCATGGAACTTGTGGACAGATGCTAATCAAATAATCAGTCTTTGCACACTGGGATCACTCTAAGGATTTTTGAACTGGGGGAAGCGTATATATATCCCTGTGGCTTTCAGGAATCCTATGGGGGCTGAGGGGGCAAATTGGACTCAGGACCTGATAAAGTCTCCATCTTCCTCCTCATGCTCCAGCTCCCAAGAAGTGGGAGGGACTTCTGCCCCAATTTTGCAGAGGGAACAACTCCCCACGTGGTAAAGTGAGTTTTTATCAGCTGGTTGTTAAGACTCCATCCGGTCAGATTTCCCTAGTCTTCCAGATCTGACTACTAAAGTGCTCTCCTCTCTCATCATACAGAGGGGATAGCGGTCCCACACGTGAGAACAGAGGTACCCAACATCTGGAAATCAATCGGAGCCCCAGCGCAGCTGAACATCTGGAGCGCTAATCGAAGGAGCCACCAGCGGTCCCCCTGGCCCCCCCCCCCCCCGTGGGGTAGGGCGGGGAAGGGGATGGAGGGGTAGGACTACTCATCTAGCGGGGCACTCGATGCTCCTGTCTTTGTGCCTCCCAGGCTGGACGGAGCTGAGAATCTGCCTCAAAGCAATGCCGAGTGCTGCCCCGCCGGGGCGTGCCAGTGCCCCCGCGTGTACCCCCACCAGGTCCGCTAGGAAGGGTTAATGGTCCTGCGCCCCACTCCCACCTCCACTGCGGGTCAGGAGCGAGCAAGTGAAGGGGAAATTGTTAAATGACTACCAGGGAAAGGGAGAGGATGAGGGACCAGAGGGGGAGGGGTGGGGACAGGCGGGGCCTGGGCG